AACCAAATTAAAGTAGCGATTTCATCATTTCCATTTTTAATTTAATCATCATAATATGAGGGTGATAACAAATTAAAACATTTAAATACTGACGATTCATATTGTATGCTTCTGAAAAATAAAAAATGCTGAATTTTTTTGGGAATAACATTTTCACAAAAATTTTATATTATTTTTATATTTTATTTAAAAATTGAATATTTAACAAATATAAATTCTGTTATTCTACGTTCGACATACATAATGAAAAAAACAATCCAACTATTGATATTTTTTGTTTTGTTTTAATATATAAAATATGTATATGGTATATTCAAACTATGTAACATCAATTCTGAGGGTATTTTTAAGCAAGTCGAATAAAAAACTTGTTTCGATAAAATCTATCATAAAACGACATGTTCCAATAATTAATTGCGTTGCGTAAAACTTCCAACACTTGTAGAACAATTAAAACAACGACAAGTCACTCAATTTCCATTTATTTTCGGTCGTTTTCATCGGAGGCATCGCCGAATGATTAATCGAACAACAACATAGATACGCTATTGAAAATCGTGCTTGTAATATGCAACCACGGAGATTGAGCGAAGGTGATGCAAAATCTCTCTAACATAAATCAATTAGTGTTATCTTGGGTAACATTGTAGGATCAAAACTAGATAACTAAGAAGTTAATGGTGTGCCTGATCGATTGGTCAAAGCCCTCTGAATAAGGCTTACGAAGTACATATACATTATCCGCAAAAAATTCTTCGTCAAATGAGATTTTTTTTTATTAAGTTAGTTTTTGCTTGTCTAAAATCTAAAAATAAGTATAGGGGAGAGTGGGCAAATTGACAAGAACTTTTGGTCAAAGTTTGGTTAAAATTGTTTAACAATGTTTTTACTCAATGTTGTTTCTTTAGTATTAGCAAAAAATTCGAACCTATGTATTATTTCGATATTATCTTACGAGACAAGATGACTTCACATACAAAGATCATAAACAAACTCATTTTGACCTCGATAACCACTGAAAACCACCATTCTTAAGAATTCTTGTATTGTATCCGGTCATTTACATTGGATTTTCAAACTTTTCTAGAAAGTCAGGACAAGCTGTATCATCTCCAACATTATCTTGATTTGTATCCATATTTTTAAATTTTATGTAAGTGGTATTTTTATTTTTATCATAATCTTCCTTGTACGCCGTTGTACTGTGGTTATGGACGCTTTTTAGCTCGGTCTAGAATTTACCTTCGCACTATGGTTTCTAGAAGCTACTTTTTTGGCCAAAATTAAACAACTTAAATTTAATGGAAAATATTGACTGTAAATTTGTGTTTTTAATAAAATAATAAAAGGCTAATAATATGAAGTTATTTTTAATCTTCTCATTCAACGTGTGATTAACTTTTACCTATAAAGCATCTTCTGTATCTTGTTCCAAAAAAGAAAGTTGATCAATAATCGAATTAGTAGTGTCCAAAAAACAATCTTCTTTAGAAATATCTTCTTGCTCTTCTTCTTTTTGCATTTCTTCTTCTTCTTTCTCTTCCTCCTCGTATTCCTCTTCTTTTCCATGCTTCTCTTCACATTCTTCTTCATTTAACTTCTTTATAAAAAAGGATGGAGACACAGATATTCTTTTTATAAAGTCAGGCACACGAAGTAGGTTAAGCACATCGGCAGGATAACTAAATTTACAAAGCAGCCTGCACAAGTAAAGCCCAATCCTGCTTATGTTCCTCAGAAACATTTGAGGCCGTTCTTCACTTACAAAAAAGTCCACATACAGTGAGTCTAAAATATGTATTTTGGCCAAAAAATTAGCTTCTAGAAACCATAGTGCTTCGTGGGAATTGCTGCCACCGGTTTACCATTGGTCTAATTTGTGGTATAGAATTATAGTCTATCTCAGTATTTTCTCTGGATTCTTTTTTGATGCTTGTGAATCATCTGAATCTTGGCAATCTAAATTTGGAGAAAGGTGTCTCTTTGTCTCTGGAGTTTGTTCTCTGATATCTCGACGGTATCCAGTTGGTTTAGGAATATGTGTACTGGTTCAAGCTTGAACCAGGGACCAAATTGATTGAAATTTGACATTCATATCAAACTATATTTTATAATTCAATATTTTAAACGACATTTATATATGTAGCAAAGTAATTCAGGATAGAAATAAAATTGTTAAAAATGTCTATACCTTCGTGGCGGATTTATCTTTCCGGAAAAAAGTCCTATGGATATTTACCACTTGCAATATAAGAATATCTACAATACAAAATAAATATTGTTGTAAACACCATTGGGTTAATCCAACGAAGACCAAATTGTCAGCGGTATTTTACTAATAAAACAAACTTGCCTAACGAACAAAAAATATTTAACGTTTTGGGAACTATGTCTCTTCTCGTCGACAACCAAACCGTTGGATTAATGTAGAGGTTTTTTTTGAAAAAATAAAATTATTATATTTGCTGTACACTTTCTAAAAATAACAACAAAGAAAAAAATTATAATATTTGCTGAAATTTTTATTTCAGATCTTAACAGATTTATTGCATTGAAAATTTTCAATAGATAAAATTTATAACGTTTTTGTGAATTTTTCAGATGTCCTTTCTAGATTTTCCCATATTTTATTTCCTCCAAATTTTTCTTTTAAAAAATATTTTCGTAAAGGATTAAATTTAAAGGCAATAAGTTTGCTACTGTTAAGCAAATCCGTATTTTATTTTTAATTTTTATTTACGAAAAATACTAAAAACAATAAATTTTAACCTGAAGGAACCTAATTAAATTGGGATGTATTTCTGCGGTAATAAAATATCTAAGGATTTAATATACAAGACCCAGATGTAACTTTTTTTATAAAATTTATTACCCGGATAATATTTGCAAGAAAACTGTGTTGTTGCTCACAACATCGGTTAATTAGAATTTAAAGTCATGTAGCAAATAAGTAAAGTTAGTAGATTAAAAATTGACTTGTTTTATTTAATTTTTTTAATACCAAACAATGTTATTTTATTCAAGTTACTAGGCCATTATTACAGTTAATGAACACGTATTGTGTGGTATAGTTGCTGGATTTTTGTTAAAATGAAAGATGAGGGAAATACATTTATTTCAAAATATTTATCACATAAACTAAACATTTTCTTTTTCATATATTTTATACATTTCAGACAACTCATCTACTAAGTTTATTCTGGTTCTTCTAAAGTTAGAAGTTTGTTGTAAACTGTGAGTTAAGATTATTCTAAAGTGTAATCATTTATCATTATCGTCTTCCTCATAGCAAATTTGGCACAAATATTCCATCATCATCGTTTCATCATTATCAGCAAATATATTGCTGGTGATTCTTTGTAATGCCAATCCGGTGAACAAATATTTTACATTCGTCATATTGTATTCCCGTCGATTTATTTTTTGTGTAACTTCCATTTAAATCCTTAGATTTTTTTTGACAGTAACTTACTTCTTACTTTTTCGTTTTCCTTTCTGTTCTTGTGTTCTTCCTCGTGTTCATTGTTTAGTCGTTTTTTCTCAAAACTTTCTTCCAAACTTTTCCAGCACATACTTTTTTTTTAACATGACGCAACTTTTGTAATTGTTAGATATCGTTAATCTTTACCGAGTTCTTTCAAAACCTGAAATAAAAAATGCAGGTCCGTATTTAAAAAAAAAATAAGTTGGCTTCTATGTCAGAAAATCTAAAAATACTATCACATAGCCCTAATAAACTGGTATAGAATGTGCATTTATTTTTTTGATTTTCTAAAAAGTAACGACAGGAAAAAATAAAATTGATTTTCAGTAAAATCCGTTTTTATCCAATAAAACTCGGCAATTCTTGAAATTTTTAAAACTGCTTTAATGGCATCTTGGTGAACATCCCAAAGCGCAACTTTGCCCCAATTTACCCATGTTCGTATCTATTATGGCTACCGAGATAACGCTCGTACCCCGAATTTGTAGCACCCTGTATATGCCCAAAACTAATTTATTATTTCATAAAGTTATGATACCTATTCAGTTTTTAAATAATGATTTGATTCTAATGTAAAAAAAAATCTTCTCATCATCGCTGACCGAGAATCGATTAGCTTTTTAAATCTCGTCAAGAATGGAATTTTTACTGTGAAACGAAAGACGACCTGTGTCGTCTTACACTCGAGACGACACAGGTCTTTTTATTTTCGGTCAAAATTACTTTCTATCTGCTTTTCTTGGGATCAACTCAATTTGTCTTGATAATCTAGAATTTTGAAACTTGTTCTTCAGGATTGGTATATTCGGAATTCAAAAAAACAATTAGAATTATTTAACTGCTCCTTATTATTTGGCGTATTGCATGAACCTGAAATAATCCAACCTAAAGAAAATATGACAAAGATTCTTGGAATAAAATTATCTTGTTCTAGATAAAATTTTATTTTTATTGATCTTGACAATAGAGCTTTTTTATATCTGTCAGTGTTGAAGTCTTAATTTACTGTTGTCAATATATTTGCAAAAGGTATTTACACGTAACTAAAAATTAAACAGCTTAACTTAAACATACAAAAAGCAAAAGTTTTAATTCAAAATACATTTAAAAGACACCGACCATAAGTTTATTAAAAAGTAATATTTTAGGTTAAGAAAAATACAATTTCAGAAACTTATAAAGCGTTATAAGTGTCATAACGCCTGCAATAGGAGCATCCAAATAGCTTTGAACAGCAACCAATAAGTGCCTATGAAAACTAGCTTACTAGCTTTGACTTTTAACTAAGTAAACAATCTTTTAATATATATATATATATATATATATATATATATATATATATATATATATATATATATATATATATATATATATATATATATATATATATATATATATATATATATATATATATATATAAAACCGGGTTCATAGCGTCCTACGCCTTCCGGTACCCAGTTGCCAGCCTTTCCTATTCTCCCAATCCCCTGCATGAAGGTTTCTCTCCGACATAGCTTTATGTATTCCTCCGATCCATGTTGCTTTCGGCCTTCCCTTTTTTCTCCTTTCTGATGGTATGGATACCTGCTGATACCTGATGGATGGATGAGTGAGGACCGAATACCGAAGAAAGTTCTGAAATGGATTTCAGAACTTTCTTCGGTATTCGGTCCTCACTCATTCTTTCTACATGCCCATACCATACCAGCTGTCTTTTCTCTATTTCATTTATTATGGCTTGCTGGACATGCATAATTTCTCTTATCTCTATATTCGCTATTCTTTCCATTCTTGATATTCCCGCAGATCTTCGCCAGAAGTCTATCTCGAGTGCTAATAGTCTTTGTTCCATTCTACTAGTGAGATGCCATGTTTCACATCCATATAAAACTATACTTTTAAAGATGGAATTATAAATAGCGTGTTTTTTCTCATATGAGATGTGTTTGGACCATAATACTGAGTTTAGGCACCCGCTGACTTTTTTGCCTTTCAGTATTCTTTCCTCGATCTCGCTCTCTGTTCGCCCGGTATAATCTATCTGAGTTCCAAGGTAGGTATATTTATTGCATGACCCTATCTCTATATTTCCATCCAGATGTAATGTTTCTGCTGCTTGGCCTATACATAAGTACTTAGTCTTCGACATATTTACCGACAACCCCCACTTTTCATACTCGCTTAAAAGTCTTGTTGTCATAAATTGTAGGTCTTCCTTATCTTGAGCCACTACTACTTCATCATCTGCAAAATGAAGGTTGTATAGAGTTGTTTCGTCGTTAAGTGGTATTCCCATTCCTCTGCACGATCTTCTCCATTTTTCTAGGGTTTCATTCAGATAGATCTTAAATAACATCGGGGATAGGCAGCAACCTTGTCGTAGGCCCTTAGTTACAGGAAAACCTACAGATAGCGCCTTACCAAGTTTTATTCTTGATGTTGCCTCATTATATAGTTGTTTAACTGCTTCTATCGCTATGTTATTTATAGAGGATTTTTCGAGGACTTTCCAGTGCTTTTGGATCGGAACGGTGTCATACGCTTTTGTGAGGTCAACAAAGAGCAGATGTACATCTCTATTGGTTGCCACTTTTTTTTTTCATTTATATGGACCAGAGTGACTATATGGTCCATACACGATCGTCCCGTACGGAACCCTGCCTGTTCTTCTACCTTATACGGTGCATACTCCCTTTCAATTATATTTCGCAGTATCTTTCCATATAGTCTACTCATAGTACTTGTGACAGAGATGCATCTATAATTGGAGCATTCATCTCTTTTTCCCTTTTTGTGGTTTGGTGTTATCCACGCTTCTTTCCAAGTTAGTGGTATTGCCTCACCGTTTATATATCTTGTCATTAGTTCTTTCAGGTGCAGTATTAATTTATATGATCAGGTCTCGTGCTACGCACTCGTTGTGCAACTTTCACACGCGTATCTTAATGATTCTGTTAACTCACTTGTATCGTAAATATCTATTACCATTTACATTCCAATTCATTTATTTTACTCATTGCAATACATTAAAAAATTATAATACCGTTCACCAAGCAAAACATTTTCACTTAAAAAAACATATAAAACAGAAAATCATTTTAGCTTTAACCGCTTTCAATATAAATGTTGCAAATATATAAGCGGTTTCAAATCGAAACAAATGCGGTCAGATTTCCTTTGAAATTTTGAATACATTCGTGCATATTTTATGTGCAACACAGTCATGTAACTTTTAGCGCGACATAAATTTATATACGCATGTATTCTGACGCCATGCCGCCAAACAAAAAGTAATAAAACCAGTTTTGAATTCCTTCAGTGATTTACAGTGTGCCCGTTTTTCATTTTTGTTCTACACTTCAACATTCTTGGCTCGCAAAGGGATAAAGTTAAAATTGATGACAATATTTAGCGCGGATTACCAAATAGGCCACGCCCTTCGTGTGGAGCCTTTTTAAACCCCACTTTTGCAGAAACGTTTCGAATGAAATATTAATCTTTATCAGAACCACGTCGTGTTCTCTATTTAATGCGATCTATTTTAATAATTAATGTGCTCGTGCCGCTTGGTAATATTTTGATATTTATAGCATTTTGACTAATGTTCCACTTTTCGATTTCTTTTAGCGGTTTTGAATAATCCGTTTTTGCTTTTCATTTTATTAGTGCTTTAGGACGTCAAGAATGATAATTTCAAGCGGTATAAAGCAAAGGGCAGTAGCATAAACTAACTGAAGAAATTCCTCTCATATTGACATTACTCTGATTAAATTATAGAGTATCGTTTTTCCATTTTTAATATTAAACATATTTTTAAATTATTTTTCGCAAAAAAAAGGAACCGGATATTAAATCTTATGCAATCTTGACTAGTCAAATTTGATATTTTAAATATAATACTAAATTTTATTTCCGATGATAGTGTATATATGATGTTTGTGTGTCTCCTTCTGTAATAGCTATTTCTACACCAATGACATTGGTATAAACTGGCTATCTTCTTAGCTAATCTGTCAGTTTTTTTATAATTGCCTCGTTTCATTAAAAGTGCCAGAAAACAATATTTGCCTTCAGGTATACAGGGTGTTCCAATATTCCCTGGACTACGTAGTTTTGGAATCAGAATAAGTTTATTGGACACAATTTATCTCTATACAAAAGTGTTTCGTTTGACCGTTTTTTCGTTGAAACGCATTTTTTCAGATATTTTAAGAACCGTTATTCCAGTTTGAATGAGGCTTTAGGTGTCTATAAGTGTCGTGAAGTGCCTTAATATTTGACTTTCACAAAAGTCAAGAAAAAATACGGGAAGGATGAGAACTACTACCCCTACATAAATTTTAGTATAAATATTTTCCAACTGAACTGACGATCGATTTTTTTTGTAAAATGACCCCTCTCTAGTATTTAATACATTTTTTGTTTCAAGTCAAGTTTGGAAAAAAAAATATTTTTCCAAAGCTGACTAATGACAAAAAAATGTTTTTTGTCACATCAAGCTATGGAGGAGCATCAAATCTATTATGTTCAAACAATCTAGTTGGTGAAAATATGGAATTTTATGTTAGTATCGCAAATTATATTTAAAAAAAATAATCAATTTGCTTAAAACATTAATCAATTTTAAATTAATTAACGTTCGGGTTTATTTTTGATTGATGCCCTCTGACGGACAAATGAAGCACTCTTGTATAAAGGTAAATTATGTGCAATTAACTTATTTTGATTCAAAAAATGCGTAGTTGTTCTATGTCCATGGATTATTGCAACACCCTGTATATTCACCCTCATTAGGGTTTCATTCTTCTATATAGACTGGTGGTAGCAAGGCGGCTGCGGCTTCAAGAATAAAGTGCCTGAGAAAGCCCACCATGATGAGGCGAAACGTCGCATAATAAAAAAAAAGTTTCCATTTTCAATTAATAAAAAAAAACTCATACCCAAGAAAGGAAGAAAAAAAATATATATGGATATAATTCTAAAGGTTTAAGAAAAAGGAAAAAAAAATAAACTCTTATATTTTGTATGTCTACTTTCGAAAAATAAATTCTCATACACTGTTATTGCATGAAAACATGGTAGAACTTTCGATAAGGAACTACCAATAAGTTGGTATAATTCATTGACGTTTATTAGACGTTCATGGTTTCCTACATATACACCCTATTGTATCCAAAGCTTTAAAGATGCATTCAGGTGATCCATGTTGCCGAGAAGTTTAATTAGAATATGAGTCTGAGCAGCGCACAACAACTTGATCTTCAAAATTTATCTGGCAAATATGATATATTATTCGAGTATCATCTTCTTCATGTTCTTCACAGGATAATGAAACTTCAATAGTTTGAATAACTTTTTTATTTTCAACATGATACGAGTAAGGGGGCGTTTATGTTGGAGCGGCGATAAACGATAAGAGCAGCGATAGAGATGTAGGTGTTTATATTGGAGCAACGCGTCGAGACACGCTTTGCAGTTGAGCAACGATAAGAGCAGCGCTAACTGTTTTGGCTATTTTCTTTGCTTTTATATCAAGGGTGGTCGACATGGATACCGATAATTTAATAAGTGAAATATTTATTAGACCTGCCTTGTGGGACCAAACAAATAAAACCATCATAATAGATTGAAATTGTGAAATTCTCCAAACTTGTACCTTCTAGTATTTATAGGGTGTGCACAGAATTGACGTTTTTTATCTGCAGTTTTAACAATATAATATTTAACAGCAGTTGAAGCTAAAAATAATTCCTTTTCGGAATCACTCATTTTAAACAAATATATTTTCAATGGATTGATTTGGTCTCAACGTCTACTTGCAAAGCAGACATCGTTGTTACTATCACAGATCCACTATGAACGGCACATTATAGAAGTGAATTTTGCACTGCTCTTTTCGTTGCTTCTATCACTGCTTTTATCGTTTATTGCAGCCTCCAACATAAACGCACCCTAACACTTATCAAAACTTAGATAAATATTTTTATTCCCAATAAACGAAGACATATTATCATCAGACCAATGATCAATAAAAAAATTACGAGGGCTTCTTTGAACTGTATATTCTTGAGTTCATCAGTGAAATTATGCGGTCGAATTTGGTTAGGTCCGATGGAAAATTTTCTGGTTGATTCATGGCGCACAAATTAAGTCACATTCTTTCAGTGATGTAAAAATTAGATGGGAAGAATTTGAATATATACAATTACAAAAAAAAATATATGAACTTAGTTTCTTTGGTTTACGGTGTAACAAATATTTAAATACATGACTACCACAGAAAATTGACTTATATTTTTATTTTTTCACCAATAAAATAATTTATTTTGCACAATTTTCTAGGAAAAAAAAATCACAGACCCAATTCGTCCAGGAATATGGAGACAATCTCCTTCAACACAAGAGATAAAGAATATTCCTAAGATGCCAAGAAGTCCTGCCGATGCATAGGCGGTTAGAAATATTTCTTTTTGTAAAATAATTAAAAAAAATAAACTGATAAATATAAAATAAATTACCGTTTCGTAAATAAATCTCGTAATGGGCCATCTGTGCGTTCTTGATTGAATTCATCTGTAGATCTTTTACTTTCTTTAAACCTTCGTAGGGGAAAATTGACTGTAATACACAGCTATAAGGATTCTGGTGCTTTTACATATTATTTTCCTACGGAGTATTTCTTATAGCGATAATTAGTTTAAAAGCTATTATTTATTAATGAAATTTTTACAAATATACTCAATTTTATTTGATCGTTTTATTATATTTCTCATATACGGAAGGGTTTTTTACAGACCTAATTGACTGTTATACACTACTGCAAATCCATTTCCGTTCTCCAATTAAAATTATAATTTATTCAGATTTCCTACCGCTAAGGCTATTAATTATTACATCAGTGATTGAGCAATCTGATATATTAAATGAATAATAAATTTCACTCCATATAGAGGGTGTGCGAAAAAGTTTGCAACAATTGAGAAAATACACTGACAGACAAAAGTATTGCGTATTTGTCTGTTAATAAGTAATAAATAAGAAGTAAATATGAGCGATTTTGCAAGAAATGTATTTTATAATATCGGTCATCCCTTGGCGTTGTTCATGACCTTGACCAGACTGTCGTTTTTATTCTCTAGTATCATTGTTTCGTTTTACTATATGAGATACAGTCAATTGTTGGATAGGCAGTCTCCACGCAATCTGTTTTTGTCTAGGAACAATAAGTAAGAATAGCTAAAGTAAGAATTTTGACAGAGACTAACTCGCTTAAATGTGGCATATAACTCACAGAAG